CAATAGTGAGAACAATGACAATGAATGCAGCCATGGATCAGACCATATAGTTCTGGTTGTCGAGCAGTTGCATCAACTGGTCGTCCATAATGTTAGACATATTGGGCAACAGTTCCATGTTTGACATCAACACCGACTCGCCATTCATGTCATTCATGGTTAACCTGCAGATTATCACCAATCATACCATGAGTTCAATGAATACATGACAAATGAAACACACTTCACAAACCTCTGGTCATTATTGTCCATCATTTTGCGGTCATTTCTTTGTATTAAGCAATAGATAACTGTTTGTTAGACTATGTTATGATCACAAAGACTCACTTCAATTCAGTGAATGTCATAATCAAGTGAAGAGATAATTGTGGACACAATGTATTCATAGATCAGATGAGTGCCACAATTGACGGCATTTGTGGTGCCATTTGAATGCAATTTAAGTATATTTTCTAACCAATCGTTTCAATGCTTTCAATGCATTTCATATGATATTCAAGTGAATGACAATTAAATCAAATGTAACTCTGAATGCAATCAATTGAATACAGCATTGAGTATACATTCATAGCATTCAGTACTCACTCTTTGCTCTCATATTCGCCGTCAATATAATGCTATTCAATACTATTCTATGCGAACACACAGTCAAACTCTCTCTCTCTCTCTCTCTCTCTCTCTCTACAAAGCATAGACTGTCAGAGAGAGTGAGTGACACTCTATGGGCCACAGAAAGGGAGAGAGAGAGAGAGAGACCGATGCGTAGATGTGCACTGAGAGAGCACAAGGAGAGAGCCTAGCATTGCATAGCATACAGTACTGTCTGATACCGTACTCTCATTTATGATTACATGAATGTTTAGAGGATGTGATATTCATTATAAATATAAATAATCTTATTTTTCATTTCAAACATAATTATAGGAAAGTATGAAATAAAAGACAAATGCATTCTTTGAAACAATTTAATCGATTGTTTAGTTTGTTAATGATTTCAATTATTTAAAAGTTTTCACCGATTGCCGTAAGAATACTGAATAAGAATTGTAAGAATTGTTACTTACTTTAAATAAACGATTCCTATTCTACCACATAGTGTAGAGAAGTTATCAAAGATTGTACCATTAATTGAGATAAAACTAGAGTAACGTTAATAAAAATAATGTTGAAATAATAGACTATTACTTTAATTGACGATTTGGTTATTAGAATGAATTACAATTTATTTTTCATATAAATGCATTTAATTTGAAATTACTATACATTTAGATACATGAATATATATATAAAGAATAAGTTGTTTAGGATTCAAACAAAACTGTTGAGACTATTTAGTGAAAGGTCTAAATCACAAAAATATAATCACAAATTGTTTACAGATATTAAAACTGATACACAATTAGTAATACAGTATTAATATATTTAAATTCTTATGGTATAACTGAACGCATCGGTAAACCAACACTTTAACCAAATATGGTATTAGAGAGCAATGAGAATAAAAGCCAACTTAAATTAGTTTAAAATTAATAAAAGGCACTAATTATTAATAAATTCATACAAGTTTTAAAATATTAAAACAATTATCAAATTAGTTGTGAAATCAAGTCAAGTAATCGGCAGTAGAATTCATTCCCTAACGTTTTGAATCGCTTTGAAAATAATCATTTATTTTATAAAATCATTTCCTAATATGTTTTGTCACTAAAATAAGTGCTTAATTTGATACTGAAGTAGATATGAATGCGTTTCAAGATTATACCCTAATGTTTAGACAATTATTACAAAGTTATACAATCAATGTTTGCATATCTATAACAATATACACAAATGTATAAATGATTTATTAATTTCCCTATATTCAGATATAAGAATAGCCATATAATATGAATTTGAAACATGAAACTAAAATTTTATAAAATAATCAATGAGTCAATTTTAACAGCAATATGTTATCAAATTGGGATCAAATGAGTTATCGTATTAAAATACATGTAATGTTGCACTAAGTGGTCATCAATGGGTGATTGACTGTATTTACAAAAATTGAGTCTAAAATAATGTGATGAATATTTTCAAGCAGTTGTAAAGTGGTTCAGATAGAGGTGGGGACGTAGAAGTTAGAAAGTCCTACTTTTACTGTTACTAAGTCCTCGTCAACTAATTTACTTTTTGGCGAATTTAAGGACACTTTCAAGTGTTGCGAATCCGACTCCAGATCGACCTCTTTTGATATATCATTGGGTTTGTGGCAATCAGTACTATTCGTATAGTTGTTGTCATTGTCTGTCAACTGTTGCTTCTGTTGTGCAAAGCATGACGAACACAGATAGTTGTTATGTAATGTACCGAACATTTTACAACCGGTATTCACACATAATGTCAGATTTGAGTGATCGTTGTCTGGCGTAGGGCTAGATTTGCTTGTAATCACTGGTCCAGTAGCACCGGTACACGGAATCGCTTTCTTTTCTCGACATTGCCTCAGAAAGCGAGCTCGAGCTGTGTTTAAATAGTTTCTAATCATCTCATCGTAATATATATGCCGTCTGTCTGTATGCAAAAGCGCGACTATTATTTTATTCCAGTCTATCGGACAATGACTGTTGAGTTCACAATCAGACACTTTTTGGTGTTCACTAGAGTTGGCGTTTTTGGTAGTTTTCAAATCCGAAGTCTTAGTCTGAGATAAACCATTGGTTTTACTTCTGAAAGAAGTGCCTCTTTTGGCAAAAGTTCCCAAATTTTTCTTAATTCGTTTACTCATTCTTCCGAGAGATCCGAAATGTTTGGTAATCTGTAGCAACTGTTTGGCGGCTTTACTACTAAATGCTTTCGCTTTACTAACACTTCCGCCGACACTGGAGGCCGAGGGCGCGTCTGAAGAGCTGTCGTCCGATTCAAAACTACTCGGAAGTGTTCGCGACTTTTCCATTGCACTTAATTTTGCGTTCCGTTTGTTTGGCTTCTTATCGATTACTAAATCTGTTTCAGATTTCGGACAATCGATGGAATTCACGTCAAAGTATTGCTTCAAAAGTTTCAGTTTCTGGCCTTCACTCAGAGTCAGCCGCTCAACCATTTCATCGGAAAAGTGCTGTTCTTTGTTGAACACATCCTCTCCCGGATCCACAACAAACTGAAGCGGAAGTATATTGTGTTCAAAATCCATGAGAGGAATGGCTGCCGGCGGTGGCGACGGATGATTGTCAACGAATTGGATCTCTTTGTCCATTGAAACCAACGCCGAGAAATGGGCGGCGTCTGCATAATAGGTACGCAATCAATACATTACACAATCAGACATCGCGTATTCAATCATCAAAACATACCGTAAGTGAGACAAAGTGGAGATTTCATGAGATTATTGTCCGGACACTCGAGTGGCAGATATATACCACCGAAAGGTATCGGAAAGAATGCTTCGCCTAAAAGTTGATTAAAATTAGATTAAAATAAAAATGCAATTCGCAAAATGCAAATAAAAATAAAACAAATACCAGTTATGTCTTTAAGCATAGTGTCTGCGATCACTATAATAGGTCGCCGCAGAACGTGCGCCAACGCAAAGATGTGGATCTCTTCAAGACTTTCATAAACATGTGGTTGAATCTCATCTAACGGGTCGTCCTTTTTGCCGCCGTTTAGTTCAGAACTCTTGTAATCAGAATGAGCTCTAACTCTGGGTTCAGTTGAAGCCATTTTTAGCAGACAATCCCATTCTTGACGCCATTCGCTCTCTGATTAGATGAGCAAAACTCCACGAATTAAAAGGAGTGAAACATTAGTGAAAAGCCTATAATTACCAGAGAATATGAGTCCGGCCTTAAAGTTCTGGAAATATGTTTGCCATTTCCATCGCCTATAAAACGCTGCCGTATATGAACTGTTGGAAAGCAACGCATGTAATGCTTTCCTCAGCACTAGTAGCCTATCGTGAAAACCCCACATCCCTGGCGTCCAAATCATTGTAAGATATGATTAGAAAAACAAATAAAATGAGCGAATATTCATCAATTAGTACCTAAGGAGGCGGCGTGTAATAGACAGTTGCCATCACCAGTGGTGGCCAACGGCCACAACTTCTGGCAGACCTGTGACCACCAGTTAAGTCTTTGGGAAGATTCGAGTGATACGAGAGTCGACTTCTCTATCAAGTCTTGCTCTAAGAATAGCCTGAAGTCCTCGGGATGTATGGAAAGGTCGGGTAATGTGAACGTGAAGTCTGGGGTCTCGAGAAAATTAGTGGTATTTAAGAGACGACTTCCTCGACAAGAAGTTTTGAAGTCTTGTGCGAACTCATTGCGCGCTTTGGACACTAAGTTGACATTATCTGTGGCTCTGGAGATGCCTCGACTCAACTTCTTGTTGGTCTCCTCCATGACATCAGCCGTCGAGTCGTCTGCTTTTGAATGGATGGCTAACTTTGATGGCGACGACGTGTTGGACGACTCGTCTGAACACTGGGATGAATGAGAGGACAGGGATGGCTCTGAACTGCACTTAATGGTCACCAGTTGTGGCAAACTCTCTTCGCGACACTTCTTGTCATTCATGTGAACCCCATTCGTGTCCAACGATTCCTCGTGTTTGGTGTCATTGACGGCCAGTAAGCCATTCATCCTATAGAAGGCATTCAGCGCTGACTTCACATCCCATTCATTACCTGCGAGACAATCAAATCAATGCAAACATATTAGCCATCAATACATAACCATATGATATACAACTCATGCGTACAGTCGAGTAAATCGCGAGCAAATCCCGGATCAGTTGCCGTCCGAGTCGTGAATTCAGATAATATTCGGTCTTTCGGTTCAGACATTGGTTTGCATTTAGTCTTCGGTCGGGATTTAGCCGTCAATTGATGTGTGAATTGGATGTGAAATGAGTGGTAAATATGCGGACATTTAGGCCGTGAATGAGACCACGATATGAATGGAAAGCAATTCAATGAATACACATATTATGGACAGCAATGGATGTGTCATTCAAATGTGAACAACAGCTATGTTTACATCAATTAAATCCACTATTATTTGTATTACAGTTATTTGTACGCAATTCACAGCATTAGTCACCACAGCATTCAACACACAGTACACTATGATATGCCTCCCAGTCTTGTATAACGTGTTATTCAAATATAGTGTTCAATACTGCATCAACACATACACCCATTGTCAGGGTGTCATTGCAATCAGCCCTCCCCTCCCCTCCCCTCCCCTCCCCTCCCTACTGGTTCAAGGTTTGCTACATTTCTGTAGATTTCTTTACATTAATGCACTCAAATTAACTAGTATATTTCTTAAATTGAAAATATTTTTTAAGTTAAGCTTGATTAACTAATAATTCAAATAAATTAAGATTTAACAATAAGATCATTTCGTTTTTATTTTCGGTATTTATATTGAATTAATTTAGTAAGATTCAATTTTTATTAATACCAATAATTTTAAATTGATTTTTAATGATTTCTAAAAAGATTTTATGATTTTAAAATATCCTAACAATTTTTACTCATTGTATTCATTATTTATATTAATACTGTATCATGAATGTATCTCAAAAAACATGTCACACCAACATAATTTTCGTTAAAATTGTCTAATAGAGTACCATGAAATAATAAAATATTCATTTTAAATGTGCATCATATAAAAACTTAAATGTATGATAGAACTCTCTATAATTTATGTGTCACTCTATTCCAATTTATAATAAGTCCAGTACAGTATAGGTAAAACATTGATCAATAGAAATACCATTAACATAATTATGTAAATAATTTAATTGTTAATAAATTTTTGTAAATACCAGTTTTATTATAGGTTTAAATTTAACCTAATTTATACATAATTTTGTTATCTAGTTTTAAAAATGTATGAAATATGACCATCGCTGTTTAAAGGAATTTGCTGACCTAGAGTTTATAGGTTATGAATCATAAATTGAGCATAGTAAATGCAATTGGACTTATCATAGATTGGAATTGAATGACACATTATACAGTATAAATAATTGTGATTTTATAAACTATATTACACAGTATATAAAATAAAAGTCTTATATTACTGTATAAAACTACTTCCGGTCACCAAAACTACTTTTCCCGTAAAGTTTCGTGAATTTATCACATCTTTATAGTCTTTGATATCAAAATCCGCACAAACTATTGAAATCAATGCCAATAATACTATTATTTTCATTTTAAAAATGAATGAATTACAGTAATAAATTGAGTTATATTATTTTCAGAGCTTTTATACTTAAACATAAAATTGTTAAATACTCCCTTATATACAAAATATTATGAACCTTCACATTTACATTAATGTAGAGTATGGTAATAGTATAGTAGTAATCTATTATCCGATACTATTATTTGATAACTTGTAAAAATAATTAATATTTACCTTGAAATGAAAATACCGATAAATAAAAAGTGTTATGCACTATGAAAATGTAGGTAACAATCTTTTTATTAATTTTATAATAATTTCAATGAATTGTTTTTAATACATATTGCATTAGATATGAAGTCCTACTCGACTCTTACTCTGGCTGTCAGCTAAAGGGGTCTGGAATCTTAAAATTTGAAATATACCATAATATTCTATATTAAATTCTAAACACATTGAGCTAGCTAAATTAGGCGAATGGATATATACACTATTAGAAAAAGAATATTCTTTATTACCGAAAAGCATAGAATTTTGCATAAAAACTGTTATATATAACATTAAGTTTGAATATTTTTAATCAAAAATATGAATCATTTAAAATGTATAGATTATAAATTGACATTGACACTATAAATGAAAATATAATTATTCATTAATATTTATATCGTACTGTTATGCAAAATTCTATGCTTTTCGGTTATAAAGAATATTCTTTTTCTAATAGTGTATATATCCATTCGCCTAATTTAGCTAGCTCAATGTGTTTAGAATTTAATATAGAATATTATGGTATATTTCAAATTTTAAGATTCCAGACCCCTTTAGCTGACAGCCAGAGTTAGCACTATTTGTGCTACATTTTTATATTCACTACCAATAAAACCAATAATTCATCTCGTTTTATAACCTTGTTAATCTTGTAAAATAGTTAAAATAAAACTAATACCATATAAAAGTTAATTTATAAAATGGGTTTTAAAAAATGTAGATTTATAATGAAAATAAAATGAAAATTACTCTTACTATAAAAAACTATGTGTTAATATTGTCGTATGATTGCTCCCGGTGATGTCATTTTGAACTAATTGTGAACTAATTTTGCACTTTTAATGATAATTAATTATTGAAGTGAAATGAATTGTAAAGTCAGAGATTTCTAACGCATTAACGGGAAATGATTTTGTTTATAACTATATTTATGTTTGAAACTATAAATACTGAATGAATTTGTATTTAGAATTAATTCATTTGTGACTTAAATAAAGTTATTTTTAAGTTTAGTTTTTGCCGGTATAGGAAAGGTGTGTAGATATCGCTCTCTCGAGGAATGGATCAATTGGTGGCCCTCTCGAGGAACTCGCATGGAGTGGCTCTTAGGCCGTACGCTCCGGACAACGGAGTGTCGCCGACATATGGAGAGTCGTCGACATTAATTAAAAGTTAATAAATTATAATTTTATTTTCTATTTGATTATTTTAAACCAATTATTTGTGAGGCAATGTACAGTAGTTGAGAAGTACTTGTTCTATGGGTTGTAGGGTCCGGACACAGGAGTTCGAGTCCCAGTGACTACTAGTTTACATTCAAATCAATACCAATAATACTATTAACTTCATCTTGGCAAATTAACTTATTATCGATATATATAATATTATAACGAAAAGTGATTTGTTGACAATTTGGTGATAATGTTTGTTCATATTCATAGCTTTGGCCCTGATAACTTTATAAAGTTATATTTATTAATTCATAGTTTTAAGATTAGTTTATTATTAGTAGTTGGGTTATATAATAATAATAATAATAATAATTTTGTAAACAAATAAAAAACATTATTTGATTAAATATATTGTTGTTATTATAGCAAGAAATCATTTAAAAGTTTGTGTAAACTAATTGAATGACAACTCAATATATTTATAGATAATTTAGGTTTGTATTATACCGATAATTATCAACAATTAAAAATTCAAAACATACCATATTTTTAATAAATCTTTTTCAAAATAAATTTACAGTACACCAGAACAAATAGATTTATAGAATATTAAATGCTCCAATGTTATAGACCTCCCCGCCATCGACCACCAGATTAGCGCCGGTTATGAATGAGGCATCACTTGAGGCCAGGAATACCACTCCTTTGGCGATATCTAATGGTTGTCCCACACGTCTCAATGGTGTTATTTTCTTTATAAAGTCATATAAAGGATCCACCTTATCTGTCATTTATGTAGGCCCAGGGCAATTAATTAATAAATTATAATAATAATAACAAATTAAACAAAAATAACTATAAATAATTACTTCACTGTATTCACACGAATGCCTTTGGGTCCCAATTCGAGGGCCAGTATTCGAGTCAACATATCTAAGCAGGCTTTTGCCGTTACAGAGGCTATGGTATGGATATACTATGAAATATTATATAAATTTTGATCCCAGGCTTGCATTAAGTCTTTTTGGGTGATGTTTGTCATCGGGTATATACCGGCGTTGTTCACCAAAACATCTAACTTTCCAAACGTTTTAATAGTATTTGCGATCAAAGTGTTGATGAATTCAGTTTTGGTGAGATCTCCGACCACTTCTAATGGCTGTTAATAACAAATGTATTATTAATGAAATTATGTTATTATATAACATTTTATTCAAACTTTTAGTTTCTTTGGCGACAAATCCTGCACTTCTTTGGCGACTCTCTGGACGTCATCGGCTTTCCTACCGGTGACCACAACATTGGCCCCTAATATAGAGAACAGTTTAGTGATCCCCTCCCCGATTCCAGAACT